ACATCCTCTCTCCCTCTACCCTGTCAAGCCCCCTAAGAATTTTTCAATAAGGTCTCCTGTCATTCTTCCAAACTCCAAAAAGAGTACAGGCCCAACCTACTCAACCTCTCCCAGTAAGTCAGGCCCTCCCTACCTGGTATCAGCCTATTGTCCTTCTCCATGCCGCCTCCAATGTTATTACATCTTTCCTCAGATAAGGGGAGCAAAATTTTCTGCAGTATTCCATGCGTAGTCTAACTAATGCCTTAGCATGACTTTGCAGTTTTTATACTCTATTCCCTTGCAAATAAAGGCCAATATTCCAATAGCCTGCCATATTACCTGCTCAACTTGGATTCCAGCTTTTCGTGGGGCAGGACATACCCAGGGATGGTTTTTTTTTTCCTTTTCTTTATTCATTCATTCACGGGATAAGGGTATCGCTGGCTAGGCAGCATTTATTGCCCATCCCTAATTGCCCAGAGGGCAGTTAAGAGTCAACCACATTGCTGTTGGTCTGGAGTCACATGTAGGCCAGACCAGGTAAGGATGGCAGTTTCCTTCCCTAAAGGACATTAGTGAACCAGATGGATTCATGGTCATCATTAGATTCTTAATTCCAGATATTTTTATTGAATTCAAATTCCACCATCTGCTGCATTGGGATTTGAACCAGGGTCCCCAGAGCATTATCTGGGTTTATGGATTAACAGTCCAGCAATAATACCACTAGGCCATTGCCTCCCTTAGTGATGGTGGTGTCTGGGTCATTGATAACTCCTTCTTCTCATTTTGGCATGATGTTGGCAAGAAGGAGTTTGTAGGGATGGCAGGGCTGGGTTTCATGTTCGCTGGTTCCATAGTCAATGCCAGTGGTCCATCCAGTTTCCTTCCATCGTTTGCCACATTGCTGTGGGTGAGGAGCTACATGTACACCAGAGGATGGCAGATCTCCTTCCCTGAAAGGCATCGACGAAGCAGGTAGTTTTTTTACAAATTTGTGAAGCATCAGAGTAACTTGTAATTCCAGACGTTTCTGAATTCCAGTTTCACCACCTGCCGTGGGATTTGAACCCAAGTTGGCAGAACATTAGCCTGGGATTCTGGGTCACTCGTGACATTACCGATATGCCACTCTTCCCCACAATGGGTCAGTCTGCTGCCAGACAGTTCAAAGGAACTGCCTTCGATCAAATATTGGCTTATCACATAGGGCTGCACAGGATGCACAGCACAGAAACTGGTCACAAGCTCTCCCTCACCCAACTTCACCTAATCCAAGGGTAGCACGGTGGCACTGCTACCACACAGTGCCAGGGACTTGGGTTCAGTTGTACCCTCGGTGACTGTGTGGAGTTTGTACATTCTCCCCGTGTCTGCATGGGTTTCCTTCCACAGTCCAGAGGTGTGCAGGTTAGATGGACTGGCCATGCTAAATCGCCCCATACTGTCTAGGGATGTGCAGGTTAGTTGTATTAGCCATGGGAAATGCAGGGTTACGGGGATGGGGTGTGGTAGGTCTGGGTGGGATGCACTTTTGAAGGATTCGTGTAGACTCGACAGGCTGAATGGTGATATTTGCATTTTCACAAGTGCATTCTAATCAAAATAACAGTCTACTTCTTTCCCCATCATGTCCTTATCTAGTTTCCTGTTAAGTACATCTTTGCTGATCACCCTAAATGCACTAAGTAATGGCAAGCTCTGCATTCTAACCATTCTCTGGATAAACACAGGGGCACAGGGTAGGAACAGGGCAAACAATTCTACCCCTCAAGCCTGTTCGGCTCTTTCAACATTCAGATCCTCCTGGTGTTGTTGTGGTGAGTTATAACTGAGGGTCACACAGATGCAGAAGGCTGGAAAGCTGACCTTTCGGGTCTGGACCCTTCGGGCCTGGCCTGCTGCGTTCATCCAGCTCTACACCTTGTTTTCTCAGACTCCAGCATCGGCAGTTCCTACTAAGTAAAAACCAAAAGAACTGCGGATGCTGTAAATCAGGAACAAAAACAAAGTTGCTGGAAAAGCTCAGCAGGTCTGACAGCATTTGTGGAGGAGAAAACAGAGTTAACGTTTCGGGTCCGGTGACCCTTCCTCAGAACAGTTCCTACTATCTCTGCAGAAGGCTGGTCCTGTTTTGCCGATGGGAATAGATGAAATCAGGGCTGGAGTTGAGCACAGACCAGATGGGCTAAATGGCCTATTTCTACGCTGACAATTCGAGGCAGTTGTATCCTTGAAAACCCCAAGGGATACAAGATTTGCCATGAAGCTGCTTGCTCTATTTGAGGGACGAGGTGAGAAATTTGATGGGGAGTTGAAATGGAAACATTCAAAGGGGTTGACAGAAGGCTTCAAAAAGATGGAGAAAGTTGTAATATTAAGGCAGAAAGCTCTCTGATTTCTTTATGCCAGCAGACAGAATGAATCTGAACATGCACCTGACATGGACATTTTCCAATCATCCTCTCAGCAGTTCACCGTGACGGCTGGGATCGCTTCTTTCACTGAATATAAAGAAATTAAAGCCTGTCAGATAACTCTGCCTTCAGCTATGGAGTGAGAATGTCCTAGGTACTGTCACAGCAATTCCAACACAGTAGGAGGCCATTGTGACTGAATTAGCTCCACTATGTATTCTGATACCATCTTACTCTCCTTATGCTACTTAATAATCATCTTCAAACATTTCTCTAATGCCCTGTTAAACATTGTGCTTCACTAGGTTTCAATACGCATTATATTCTCATAACCCTTTAACTGTGAACTTTTCTCCTAACCAACTCATTAACTGCTCTCATATTCACTCAACACTCAGGTCCCATTATCAGTGAAAATAATTTTAAACTATTTCACACAAATTTCAGTATTACTTGTGGCCCCAGACCTGACACCTTCCTTTCTCTATTCCACCAAACAGAGCCTTAGTTATTCTCTCCAGGATTTTAAATGTAGCTAAACCATCTCATGTTACGCACTGTGAACAATCCCTGGCCTCTCTACCCATGAAACTCCCCAGGAAATCCATATTGATATGATCCCAGAAACTCACCAAGGCTCCTTTGACAGCACATTCCAAGCCCTTGCCCACTTCCATCTAGAAGGACAAGGGTAGAAGATACATGGGAACACTGTCACCTGCAAGTTCCCCTCCAAGCCACTCACCATCATGATTTGGAAATATATCGTTGTTCCTTCACTGTTACTGGATCAAAATCCTGGAATTCCCTCCCTGTGGGCATTGTGGGTCATCCTACAGCACATGGACTACCGCAGTTCAAGAAGGCAGCTCACCATCACCTTCTGAAGGGGCAATAAATGCTGGGCCCAGCCTGTGACACCCATATCCCATGGATAAGGAAAAAGCTGATAGTCCAATTGGACAAGTCAAATCCCAAAACAAAACCTGGTTTGATAGATCATGTAGTTGTTTAAAGTTATTTAGTTAATGTGGTGATGAGTCACTGAAACATCTTCACAACAGGCTGTGGGTGGTCTTCAACAACAAAATGTAAGTTAATTACACAAAAGAAAGAAAAGAAACCAAGCTATAGCTGTAAATAAGTTTTAGTCGGAAGGATCCTAACATGAACTTCAGCACAAAGTTTCAACTCATTTCCTGAAAACATCCATTTCTGAAACTCAAGTCCAGACAAATTACACCTTTCCCTTAACTCTTTAGGTTTCTACTTAACTCCAGTGTTTAACCCCTGGACTGTGGAGACAATGATTCTTTTCAGAATCTGTTGACATGTTTCAGTCTTTGGAATTCCTTGCCACAGAGAGCTGTGGGTCCTTGCGTATATTTAAGGCTGAGATAGATTCTTGATCATTCAAGGAATCAAGGGTTATGGGGAAAATGGCAGGAAGGTGGACGAGAGAAATGTTGGATCAAGGGGTTGAATTCCTATTTCTTACTGTGTTATGGATTTCTTTATAAATCTGAATGCTTAAATTTTCTCAACTCTAATAATTTTCAGACTTCTAACCAAACTTTCTGGACTTGGAAACTTCACAAACTAGTCAATTCTGCTGAAGTGACTGGTTTCCCTTGAACTGAAGTAACAAACTCCTACTCAAAGAGAAACTAAAACCTGCTTCTGAACTCAATCCTGATTCTTCTGAACTGAACAGAAAAAAAATTATTAGTTGTAACTTGTTTACCCTTCCTTTCCAAAATATCTTTCTAATAAACCCGCAAAAATCTGTAGTCACATGCCTTCTGAGTAATGATGGATTTAGGTCACTGTTTCCATACTGACTTGCTGACCATTAAACAAAAACCTTCACATCCATCTGCCTCTCTTTTTAAATGAATCCATATTTGCAAAATGATTACAATACGTATTGCACAACTTTCATCACAACATTTAGTCGTACTTGGGGTTCATAGTGTGTAGTAAGCATGATTGGTGAAACTCAGCATTCACTATTATTGCTCTTCTCTGTACATGCACTGCTAAAATAGGAAATCCAGACACTGCTGTGCTATTAAATTAAATTCTATTAAATTCTATGTTTTCTTACACAGTGTGCTGTTGTCCATACCAGCACCCCACCCCCCGCCAACCCCACCTCATTGCCACTCTGGAATTAATTAGAAATCACTGAACTGACAAGAACTGGCCTTTTTCTTAATTCATTCACAGGATGAGGGCATTGCTGTCTAAGCCAGCATTTATTGCCCATCCCTAATTATGCAGAGGGCAATTAAGAGTCAACCACAATTTTACCCAATTAGCTTGGTTAAATCCCCTGTCAGATGTAGAATATACAGCTTTGTCCCGACAATATACCCAGTACCTCTGAATGAGATCAGTAACTGATGGTCAATTTTGTGTTGCCGATCTGCATTCAGCAGGAAATATATTGAGCTGTTATAGTATTCAGGTTAAGTAGCTTCATTTTTCAAACAACTGTCCCAAAAACGTTTGGGGTGACAGTGAAAATTCCACTTAACAAAGCACTATGTCTATATGTTTTGGAGGCAGTATAATTTCTTGCACAGAGATTATCCTTACCTTTAGAATCCAAAGTCTCCTTCATGACGATTTCCACTCTTTCAACGTGATGCTGGTTCCAAATGGGATCCAAGGAATGCTGATTGTCATGTCGGAATGGCAAAATATGGGCAATCGCCTGAAACCATAATTTGGAGAAAAAGATCGTGAAGAGAAACATTGAGACATCTACCTTCCACCCACTTCCTATTCTACCTTTCTGTTACTCAATCAATACATGGCATTCTGCCCAATGTGGTCTACGGGGAAACTAGCTTTTAGCTCCAGGATTTTGATTCAGTGGCAGTGCAGGAACGGTGATATAGCTGCATTAAGGATGCTGTTTGACAAGAACAGAAAATTGCAGGTTGTGTTGGCTCTTGTGCCAGGTGGTAGAGTTTGGGGCTTTGGAAGCTGCTTGGTGAAGCCTCGGTGAATTTCCGCAGTGTACCTTGTAGATAGTACACACTGCCGCTACTGAGTGTTCGCAGCGGAGGAATTAATCTTTAAAATACTGCAGGTAAGCCATCACAAGCGTGCGTTCTCAGTGGAATCATTGTTAAGAACCAAGATGGAGTTTAATCTGGACAAGTGTGAGGTAACACATTTTGAGAGGCCAAATGCAAGAGCAAAGTGTGCTGTAATTGGCAGGATCCTCAGGAGCACTGGTATACAGAGGGATCTTGGGGTGCAAGTCCATAGCTCCCTGAAAGTGGCAACACAAGGGGATCACGAGCTTACAGAAGGCATACGGCATGTTTGCCCTCATCGATTGGGGCATTGAGTATAAAACTTGGCAAGTCACGCTGCAGTTGTATAAAACTTCACTGAGGGCATATTTAGAGTATTGTGTACCGCTCTGGTGCCCACGCTATAGGAAGGAAGTGGAAGCTTAGGAAAGGGTGAAAATGAGGTTTACCGGGTGTTATTTTCTGAAGAAAGGTCTAGGCCTGAAACGTCAGCCTTCATGCTCCTCTGATGCTGCTTGGCCTGCTGTGTTCATCCAGCTCTACACCTTGTTATCTCAGATTCTCCAGCATCTGCAGTTCCTACTATCTCTTTACCAGGGTGTTGCCTGGATTGGGCTGTATTAGCTATTAGGAGAGGGTGAACAAACTGGGATTGTTTTCACTAGAGCGTCAGGGGCTGACAGGTGGCCTGATGGAAGTATATGAAGTTATGAGAGGCATGGACAGGGAGGATAGGTGGCCAGGTGGAGGCGAGGGCCTGGTGGTATTATCGCTGGACTGTTAATCCAGAGACCCACATAACATTCTGGGGACCCGGGTTCAAATTCCATCCAGATGGTGCAATTTGAATTCAATAAAAATATCTGGAATTAAGGATCTAAAGGTAACCATGAATCGATTGTCAGAAAAACCTATCTGGTTCACCAATGTCCTTTAGGGAAGGAAGCTGCCATCCTTACCTGGTCCGGCCTACATGTGACTCCAGACTCACAGCAATGTGATTGACTCTGAACTGTCCTCTGGGCAATTAGGGATGGGCAATAAATGCTGCCTGGTCAGTGACGCCGTCATCCCATTACTGAATATTACAAAAAGTTAAATACTAGGTTTAAGGTGAGAGGGGAAAAGTTTTCAGCAGATGTCCGAGGTAAGTTTTTTTACACAGAGGGTGGTAGGTGCCTGGAACCTGCTGCCAGGGGAGGTGGTAGGAGCAGATACAATAACAATGTTTAAAATGCATTTAGACAGACACATGAACTGGCAGGAAATAGAGGGATCAGGCCATGTGTAGGTAGACAAGATTAGTTCAGAATGGTATCATGGTCGGTGCAGGCGTAGTGGGCCAATAGGGCCAGGTTCTGTGCTGTACTGTACAATGTTCTTGCCTGTAAACTAAGTCCTGTCTGAAATCAATGAACTGTGAATCTTCCTGAATCTTAAGGATCACTGGTTTGGAAGGCACGGCACACGACTTCTGAACCACTGTGGTTACAAGGTGTGCGTAGTAAATTGTAATGTCTGGTTTTACTTCAGTTTACCAGCCGTTCAGATACACCTTGAGCATATCTTCATCTAGATTTTGAAATGGTTACTCAAATGTTTTCTCAATTAGAGCTCTCATTACACACTGCTAAAAGAAATGCAAAACTTTGGAATACTGCGTACAATTCTGGTCTCCTTGCTATAGGAAGGATGTTATGAAACTTGAAAGGGCTCAGAAAAGATTTACAAGGATGTAGCCAAGGTTGGAGGATTTGAGCCTGACCTCAATGGTGGGCAAGTTATTGGAGGGAATCTTGGGGGACAGGATTTACATGTATTTGGAAAGGCAAGGACTAATTAGGGATAGTCAACGTGGCTTTTTGCATGGGGAATCATGTCTCACTAACTTGTTTGAATTTTTTGAAGAAGTAACGAACAGAATTGATGAGGACAGAGCAGTGTATGTGATCTATTTGGACTTCAGTAAGTTGTTTGACAAGGTTCCTCATGGAAGACTGATTAGCAAGGTTAGATCACATGGATTACAGGGGGAACCACCCATTTGGATACAGAACTAGCTGGAAGGTAGGAGACAAAGGGTGGTGAGGATTGTTTTTCAGACTGGAGGCCTGTGACCAGCAGTGTGCCACAAGGATTGGTGCTGGGTCCACTGATGTTTGTCATTTTATATAAATGATTTGGATATGTAGGAGGAATAGTTAATAAGTTTGCAGATGACACCAAAATTGTAGGTGTAGTGGACAACGAAAAAAAGTTACCTCAGAGTACAACGGGATCTTGATCAGATGGGCCAATGGGCCGAGGACAGGCAGAAGAAGTTTAATTTAGATAAATGTGAGGTGCCGCATTTTGGAAAGGCAAATCAGGGCAGGGCTTATACACTTAATGGTAAGGTCCTGGGGAGTGTTGACGAACAAAGTGATCTTGGAGTGCATGTTCATAGTTCTTTGAAAATGGAGTCGCAGGTAGATAGGATAGTGAAGAAGGCATTTGGTATTTCCTTTATTGGTCAGTGCATTGAGTTCGTGAGTTGGGAGGTCATGTTGTGGCTGTAAAGGACATTGGTTAGGCCACTTTTGGAATACTGTATGCAATTCTAGTCTCCCTGCCAACAGGAAGCATGTTGTGAAACTTGAAAGGGTGGAGAAAAGATTTACAGGTTTGGCGGGTGTGAGCTACAGGGAGAGGCTGAATAGGCTGGGGCTATTTTCCCTGGAGCATTGGAGGCTGAGGGGTGACCTTATAGAGGTTTATAAAATCATGAGGGGCATGAATAGGGTGAACAGACAAGGTCTTTACCACAGGGTGGGGGAGTTCAAAACTAGAGGGGCATAGGTTTAAGGTGAGAGGGGAAAGATTTAAAGGGACCTAAGGGACAACATTTTCACACAGAAAGTGGTGTGGGCATGGAATGAATTGCCAAAGGAAGCAATGGAGGCCGGTACAATTACAACATTTAAAAGGCATCTGGATGGGAAGGATTTACAGGGATATGGGCCAAATGCTGGCAAGTGGGACGAGATTAATTTAGGATATCTGGTTGGCATGGACGAGTTGGACCGAAGGGTCTGTTTCCATGCTGTACATCTCTACAACTCTAACAGCCAAGGTCATTTTTTCCCAGGGTGGGGGATTTCAAAACTAGAGGGCATAAGTTTAAGATGAGAGGGGAAAGATTTAAAAAGGAGTTGAGGGGTAACTTTTTCATGCAGACAGTGGTGTGTGTATGGAATGAGCTGCCAGAGGAAGTGTTGTAGGCTGGTACAATTACAACATGTAAAAGTCATGCGGATGGATACATCAATAGGAAGAGTTTAGAGGGATATGGGCCAAATGCTGGCAAATGGGGCTGGGTCAGATTGGGATGTCTGGTTAGTGCGGATGAGTTGGACCAAAGGGTCTGTCTCTGTGCTGTATAACGCTATGACTCGAAAGGAATGGAGAATTCACCACGATCATGTTTAACCCCCACCACAATTAAGCCAATTTGTGAAACATATGAGCAACAAAGAGAAGGAGAAGAGACTCATCCCTTTAACCCAGGCCTGCCCCCAATCAAGGAAACTCCTCACTGCCCCCCGAAAGGTTATCCATTCAGACTTCGGCACAGGGACTAGCAACTGATCCTGCCCAACTGTAAATGTGCCCATCACTCATACCCATCGCTCCACACCTGAGGGATAGCAGGTATGCTACACTGACCACATGTTGAGAAAGTCTAACCTCAAGATCAGTGACTCTGAAAATGTGCTCCTCTACGGTGAGTGATTCAGATTGTGGGCATTGCTTAGTTCAGTTGGCTGGATGGCTGGTTTACAATGCAGAGTACCACCAACAGCATGGGTTCAATTCCTGCATTAGCTGAGGTTGCCATGAATTATTCTCCTTCTCAGCCTCTCCCCTCACCTGAGGGTGGTAAGCCTCAGATTAAATCACCACCAGTCATCTCTCCCTCTCTCTCTCTCTCTCTCTAATGAGAGAGCAGCCTTCAACTATGGTGATTTTACCTTTAATGGAGATGGTGTCTTTCGAATCCCACCATCTTCAATCCTACACACTTCCAAGAACCGAGCAGAGTCCGTTCCCTCTCTCTATTAGAACTTCCTGTCATCAGAAGCTCTTGTTTGGAAATAATTCTAGTATCTTATCCTTATAAATCACAGGTCCAAGATTCATGTGTTATTCCGGTTGCCTTCCTAACCACCATCTTCAGAGCTTCAATATCCTTCACCACGCACAAAGGCCAAAGTTAAAGATAATCTTCACTGTGCAGATATACCAGAACATTCTAAGAGTACTGTATCGTAGTCCTCTCAGTGCCTCCTAAAACCAAATATTTGTCCTATCTATGGGCATCGTACATTGCTTGAGTGCAATAACAGATCAATAATTACTTCCAGCTCTATCTCTTGACATCTTATCTTTAAAGTCCATGTCTTCCCAAAATATAAATGTGTCTAGGATTCACTAATCTCTAATGATGTATTTGTCCACATTAAAGGACATCGCCCAGACACAGGCTTATTTCCCCCAAGTTGTCTAAAATTGGCAGTAACTCATTTGATTTTTAAATCAATAACTCCTATGCATTATTTTCCTGCATTCAACCATGTTAAAATGTTTCTATCAATGTCCCATTTAAATTGTTAACAAACACAATGAACTG